CATAAAAAAAAAATTAATCGATTTTCGGTATTCGCGAGGAATTCTACAAAGGAATTGGACAGTGGTATCCAGTGCACAGTTTTGCTTTACACCAGTATTATTCGCACATATGTATAGGTATATAAACGAAGCGACGTAGAAGGGGGTCTAAAGTTTACTAACTAAAAAAAATTCATCAATTTATCTATCGGGCTTACATAAAGAGCCGACAATTTTTTGTCGTATTAATGGTTGTACCATTAATTTTTTTTTGCTAGAAGTGAGTCAACGAAAAGTCGCATAAAATTTAAAATTTTCTTTTTGTTTTTAGATTTTGCAAAAAAAAAGTGGGAGTTACAAGAAAACAATAGTTTTTTGTATAACTAACAGTTGCAAACTAATTTATGTAGTATGAAATTTCATTTTTATTTTTACTTATTATGTACATATGTACGTTTCTAGATTTAATATACATTTTGTTGTTTTTTTTTTTTTTACTTAAATTTGCCTAAGTATATTCACAATTCAATTCAACATTTAACTACGCTAATTAAAATTTATTTAACTACACAAATCAGTTATTTGTAGTTCAATTTCATTTTATGCCTAATTTAACTATCAACACGCCTAATTAATTTGTTTACATGAGCTAATTAACTTTTTTAATCTTCATATACATACACACTAACATTGTTTCACTAAATTGTATCTATGCATTTACATACATGTGTATGTATATACATCATTGTAGTACCCGTGAAGTCGCGTATGCCTTTTGGTTAAAATTACAATATTTTTCCTTTAGATTTACATACATATGTGCCACCCATACATACATACATATTAAGGTATATGCGTTTAGTGTTTGGTTTGTCGTATTTTACAAGCCCGGGAATTTCCGCTCCATTGTAAGCATTTTTCGTCTTTGTAATTACTCGCGGATTACACGCGAATTTATTTGCCATTTGTGTCTTAAGTCCTTCATTGGAATTACTTAATTTTATTTACATGATTTTAAATCATATATTTTTTTTTTCGTTTGCTGCTGTTCAAAGTCTTTCATTTCTTAGGAATTTAATTTGTCATAATTCGCTTGGTTTGTATTTTATTTAGTTTGTTCGTATTGCTGTTGTTGTTTGTTAGTTTGGAATTTAAATGCTGACGTTGCGAGTTGGTGATGTATTTGCTTGTATTTTTGTTTCTGTGGTAGAAAAGTTGCATTGCTCGTGCGTAGAAAATATTTGCGCATAAATTTTTTTGAAATTTTTATCTTTTGTGTCTCATTGTTCGTGGGCTAATAACAATTATTTTTTCAGAAATCAGACAAGCGCAATGGAGATGAGGTAATATCCGAAATAGCAGCTAACTTCTACCAATGTAAATTATTGTTTCATAAAATAAAAATAAAAATAAAATAAATTAAGGAAATTTTTAATGTTAGTAATGAAACACAACAAGCTTTCTTTTAGTAAAAGGTTTATTGGAACCTCAATGAAATTTTGCTTAAACGAAACTTCATTTGAAGCTTGCAAGCTGGTGGCTGGATCGTTTAATTAAATAATATTGCATGCTCTGAATATGTAGATCCAACTTAAATTTTTGAAAAACCGTAGATGTGAAAATCGTAGCTTGTTATGTAGATAGTATTTTTTTATATATTTAACATCTGCAATCAAAAAAGGGAATTAAAAATATGTTTTCCGTGAACCGAAATGCAGTTATAATTCCTGCGCGAAAATCGAAAAGTAAAGTAACCTTAGTCAAAGCTTAGTTGAAGCTTTCTCAGCTCAGATGGACCAGATGTAAATAGACAACCATTCATAGAGAGTCTATCAACACCTTCTGCAACTCTCAACCTATCTGCACTTAATACAGACTCTGAGCATCGACTACCACGCGGGACTCGCAGCACTCTGGCCCTGCTATAGTCTGGATACTGAAACCGTCTCGACAGCTACTTATCCAGACTTGATCCCGATATGCTCAAATAGTGTCAAGCATCACAACAATCCCCTTGCTCTGGCCCAAGGCCGCCGAATCGGCTCGTTTACTCGGCCTACCCTTGGTACAGCTTAGCGACAGCGATTGATGCACACAACCCGACTTAGGGTTAGTAGTATCGCCACAAAAACAACTAGCTATCCTTACTTTCTTTCACGTCGATGTTTTTCAATTAACTTCCATACTAAAGAAAACATATTAATGTTTTAAAAATTTTGATAAAAAAAAAATAATCGACCGTAGTTCAGTTAGCAGGTACTGTATCTTCGAATTCGAAAAAGACTATGTACTTTAGGGCGACTCAAATTACATGGGAAATTTTTTTCGACTATGCGCGTATAGTACAGATGGGTACAAAATCAATTTAGTGTTTGCCAAATTAGGTTTCTTAGCATTTTGCTGTTTGCTTAATTTTTTAATAAAAAAAAAAGTATAATGGGTTTTTTGGAATGAACAATTTATCTCTGCACATATCTTTTTCTTAAAACTCCCGCCAGATGGCGCTACCGAGAACATTTTCACATTTTTTTCGAAACCTATTTTCACAATTTGACAAACTCAAAACTGATTTTAGACCCATGGTTTTTTCGGAAAATTTGACAAGAACTACACGTAGGATTCTCCTATGCTATACGCGCATATAAAAAAAAAAAAATTGACCCGCACTAATGCACATTTTTAGAAATATCAAATCATGCCGAAAAATCACGGAAATTCGACTTTTACTGCGAATGAATATCTACAAATGTTTAGAGCACTAAAGCTGCTGCAAATTGAAATGAAATAATGAAAATTTATAGCAAGAGGAAAGCAAAGAATGTATAAATACAAATTTTTAACATAAAGAAAAGTTTTAGGCATTGTAATTTTTTTAGCTTTGAACGTTGCTTAAGTAAATAGTTTTCGTTTGTCTTATAAATGTTTAGAACATTAAGTAATGGCATTTCATATTTTTTTTTTTAATTATAAAACTTGTTTGTGTTCGTTTTTGGTGGTGGAAAGTTTTTTTTTTTTTTTTGCGAAAGAACACGCATATTTCTTAAAACTTAAGTCACACAGTTAGAGTTACTTTTACAATTACATACATACATACATACATACAATTATGCTAATAGCTATTCGAGGCTGCATAGCTTTCATTGTGCTTCACGCACGTCTAAGTGTCTACCTATTGCCTAAGAACATTAACAAATTTCATACAACAATTTCGTTACTTTAATTTAGCTTTTAGGTAATTATGTAAATAAAACATATACTAGAAAACAAAAAAAAAAAAAAACAAATTTTCGCCAACAAATTAGAATAACTTTCACTCGCTTAACTACATGCACACTTTCAATACTTGATACTCATTTAAACATTTGATAAATTTAACTAATTTTTGTAGTAAGAGTTTGTGTATTAGTTATTTCAGTTTACACGGTTATGACTTAAAATTATGTACACACATATGTACATCAATCAGCATTTCATATAATTGCTTTTACTACTTCTTATCATAAGTACATACTTACATACTTACTCTTACATTTAAATTTTACTAATTGCCAGTAGAATTTGTACAACGACGTATGTATGTATGTATGTAGCTATGCATTGGTTGTCGTTTATCTTTATTACATTACTCTAATTTACATATATTTTACTTATCACGAAAAGGAAATTGACACGTTTTTTCATGTATGATGATCATGTGTATCTGAAAAGAGTTGAGAAAAAAGAGCGAGAAAAGTCAATTTGTTAGTAAATGCTTGCGTACATACAAGTAAGAATTACATCTATGTATGAAATTATTTATGTACAGTGGATACACAGAAAAGTGGACTAACATTTAAGGTGCTTTTGTCGACGACTGTACTTTCGAGGTGATATTCACAGACTTTTTATGCTAAATATTATACAACTTATTTCAATAAACTGTTGAATCATTTTTTTATTCAAGAAAAATTAATTAAGAAATAAATAAAAATAAGCATTTAGAATATTGGAAGATTATACGACTCCTAAACGCAATTTTTGATTCGCACATTTGTAAAAAAGCAATTTTTAAAACTTAAGTATGTATTTTTATGCGGCTGCTGTGGCTGAGTGCTTACAGGTGCGTGCTACCACTCCGTAGGACCCGGGCTCCATTCCTGGTCCGAACAACTTCTAAATTAGAAAGAGCATCTCCCCTCGGCAGGCAGTGGCAAGCCTCCGAGTGAATTTTTGCCGTGAGAAAGCTTCTCATAAGATCCATCTGTCGTTCGGAAGGGACGAAAAACTGTGGATCTCTCCACTTGTATAACAACGTCAAGACACACACTAAACATTGTTTTTGTTTTTGTATTTGTTCTTGTGTTTGTATTTGTATTTGTATTTGTTCTTGTGTTTGTATTTGTATTTGTTCTTGTGTTTGTATTTGTATTTGTGGTTGTATTTGTATTTGTGTTTGTATTTGTATTTGTATTTGTGTTTGAATTTGTGTTTGCATTTGTATTTGTGTTTGTGCTTGTATTTGTTTTTGTACTTGAATTTGTATTTATATTTCTGTTTGTATTTGTATTTGTATTTGTATCTGTATATGCATTTGTATTTGGTTTTGTATTTGTTTTTGCATTTGTATTTGTATTTGTATTTCTGTTTGTATTTGTATTCCTATTTATAATTGTATTTGTACTTATATTTGTTTTTGCATTGTCATGTGTATTTGTTTTAGTATTCGCATTTGTATTTGTACTCGTATTTGTATTCGTATTTATTTTTGTACTTGTATTTGTATTTGTATTCTTATTCGCATTTATATTCTTATTCGTTTTTGTATTCGTATTCGTATACGTATATGTATGAGGCTCAACGTGAAATAACAACAAAATGTGTGATAATTTTGCGATCGGACAACACATTTAGTTTATTTAACTAAAGACAAGTGCACACTTTAAGCTATTTATATTTATAATTTTACCTATGCCGCAGAAAATTGCAAGTATTTCTAGAAAGAAAACAAAATAATTTATGAAAATTTCAACAAAAAAATTCAGAAAAATACAAAAGGGCACTAAATATATCTGAGAAAGAGAATAACTTTTTACACCAGATTTCAAAGGAAAATGCACTAAAAATTGCGCCGAAAACGCCATCAAACCAACAATAAAAAAAGCTTCTCATGAAATTGGTATGTACACGGCTTGTGCTTTGCTACCAAAAGTATTCGTACCGAAATTTCACGCACGCAACCCGCCCCCTTTTTTTGTACAACACCTGATCAGCTAACACCGCCAGTACTCAAAGGTAATTATCGGAGAATTCCAATGCTGATGACTGACTGGGTCCGCGTGATGATCGCGTCAGCTGCGAGTAATCACCGCCACCACGCATGCCAATGGCACTGTCGAATTCGGACAGCGGCGATGAGTTTTTGCGACGCTCAGCAACTTTTAGCAAAACCAACGAGTCTCGTTTAATGGCAGTCATTTTGAAAGCAAATAAAGCCAATTCGGTGGATGATGTTGAGTTTAGCATCAGCTGTATTTTATTACATTTATTGTTGTTGTTGTTGTTGGTGTTGTTGTTGTTGCCACATTTAATTATGTTGGTGTTGTTGTTGTTACTGTTACTGAGTTGGTTTTCGCTAAACTGATTGCTATTATGAACAATAGATTTCGCTTGGCAATTACCTTGTGTTATCGCTAATGTGGCGGCAGGTGTGTTATGTTGTGAGGAGGACGTCGTTGCCTGTAGATTGAGTGAATTGTTAGTGGAACCCGAACCCGAACCCGCGGCAGCCATACCACCGCCGGGCAAAGAATTGACGCTCGCCAACGGCTGGTGTGTGGCCATCGCCAAGGATATGCCATTGGTGGTGCTGTTGGCGCCGTTCAGTTCGCCACCCTTGTGCGTAGCCTCCCACTCGACGAGGCGTTGTTTCAGAATGCGGATTTTCTCCTCCTTCTGCAAGTGGATGAGAAAAAAAATAGAAGTGATAGAAATTTAGTTTTGCAAAGAATTGTTTACATATTTTAATACACATTAATCCAAATAATGATGTGTGCCGTTCAAATGGTTTGAAACCAGAGTACGGCTTTTTAACAAGTGGCAACCCTCTTCAAACACCTTAAAAATATTTGTAGTGTTCAAAATAAAGATTTTTTAACGCTCTTTCATTTGAAGACAATATTTTAATATTTAATATACCTTTTGTATAAATTACCGAATTTCAAACCGGTGGCAACCCTTTTCAAAATATTTTCAAACTAAAACTTTCTTCAATCTCTTTCGCCTGTAACACAAATTAAGATACATAGGTATGTATTTTAATAACCGAGCTGCTTTAATTTAAGTTCAGTTAGGTTTTTTAAACCGATGCCAACCCTCTTTAATATATTTCAGAAATAAAGGCTTTTAAAACCCATTTTAATTGATATAAAACTTTTAATTATTCATTTAACTTGTTAAAAAATTTGAATTCAACTTTTTATTCCGGTGGCAACCCTCTTCAAGTACCTCGAAAATGTTTCAAATGCTCAAAATAAATGTTTCTCACCACTCTTTCGTTTGACACCCATATTTAATAATTTTATTAATTTAGACTTTTGAAACAGCGCGCAACTTGTGTCAAAATATTTTTAAACTCAAATCTTCTTAAACATACTGTGATACATATTTCAATTGCCGCAATTCAAGTTGCATGTAATTTTTTAAACATGCCGTAACTCTCCTTAATATAGGTGACAACACCCTCCAAAATATTTTCAAACCTAAACCTTTTTAAATCTGACACCAAAATTATGGCACATAGCCCATTTACCTAATTACCAATTGCCTTAATTTAAATTGAATTTGCATTTTTGAACAGGTGGTCAGCCTCCTACAAGTAGTACGTTAAGAAATGAAGCCTTTTCAAAAACATTCCGATTGATACCCATATAATGTAATAAATGATTTAACTTATTAAATAATTTGAATATAAATTCTAACAAGTGACAACTCTTTTCGAAAAATTAAGCACATTATTGCACATCTACAAGCCAAGCCCTTTAATTTGGCATATCAGTTTTGAGTATCGAACGAACGGTGCAGATTTGATGAAGTTTACAAAAAAAACCTTTTTTCTGCATAACAATGAACAGTTATTTTAATCTTAATCTCAATCCCAGTCCCTATCTTATTCGTGACCAACCACGCCTGCCATTATCTACCTTTTTCGGTTGCCTTTTTGCATGGAATTCCACTTGGACTCCAACGAAGTGTATCGCTTTTTCGTTACATCGATGTTTGCATTTACTCCCAACCGAAAGCAAAGAAATTTAACTTCAAACCAACAAAAAAAAAAAAAAAAAAAAAAAACGGTCTCATCGATAAATGCCAACGACGAGTATATACCGAATGCAACATAATTTCCTAAACGTCGCAAAAATGCATTGATGTGGGTGTGCACTTTAAATAAGCAATCGCATTGCGTAGACTTGCATCCGATAATCCAATAAAAGTTTGTCACATTTCATGCGTACTTGTCATTTCCAATTCTTTTCAAATAAAACTCTTGCGCTGCACCTTTAGCGAATAAAATGTGCTACTGATTGCTAATGCACACAGCTGAACAACATGTTGTAGTATTATTAATAGTCTCAGGTGACAGATTGTGCACTGTTTTTTTTAAGATATCAGGTAAAAATGGTTATCCTCAAATGTGTGCATATACATAAATCGAATGAGATGAGTTCGATGGGGGGGGGTAGAGATGAGATACCCATGTACATATGTATGTATGTATGTATGTATGTTGGTATGCATATCTCTGTAGGTGTTGCAAATATATGTATATGTATACTTTCAATACAGGCGTATGGCCTTTTCCAATCCACTCATATTCGCGCATACATTTATGTCTATATATATACATATATTTCCCGCTGGTGGTACATACCAATATGGAAATAAATCATTGCTTGCTGGTTAGTATCTATGTATGAAAACAAACAAACAAACAAGTATGCAAGTATGTACAAAATCGTGTTGACGAGTTGATTTTTACTGTTTTTCTTTGGGAAATTTGTTTCTCATTGTGAACCTTCATCGCCGATTTCCAGTGCCGGCATTTCCGGTTGGCTGCAGTTCACTGCCTCTCGCAGCACAGGACGTACTGCTGCTATTTCACTTTTTTGCCGCCTCAGTAGTTTTGGCGTTTTGCCACACCATTCCTCGTGATATCTGCTCTGCCTGGCTTTTTGAATGTTCCCGCTTGCAAATAGTCACGACTCCCCATTGTGGCTTGTAA